TTGTGGTTAATCACTATGCTTTAATTATGTTCGATTTGTAACAATGAAATTGGGGGTCACCACAACATGAGGAACTGTATTAAAGGGTCGTGGCGTTAGGAAGGTTGAGAACCACTGGCTTAGAGCTTTAGTATCAAGAAGTCCCTTACACCAGAAAGCCACCCCCATGCCCCCAGCCTCCTACTGGCTGGCCACCAGGGCGGACCCTGCCTCTTCCCCTGTCCACCCCACAGCTGGCCTCGGACCCTGCCACAGATTTTAGAAAGAGCACTGGGTCATAAAGTATTGCCAGGCCATTGCCACATGTTTGGATAAATAGAAGACACCAGCAGTCCTAAAGGTCACACAGAAACCAATGAACATTTTCAGCAGTCCTCTCACCCATCTTTGAAAGAATCAAAAATGACCTATACAAAGATTAGGAGACATCTACGTTCTCTTCTGTTTACAACTGGGATACACTCCTAGACTGCGGCTCAGCACTGGATGTCATGAGCAATTGGATGCAGGGATGGTTTTATTGTTAAGAGCAGTGCAAAGAAGCAGCATGGAAGCACTTTAAGTCTTTTTCATCTAGTTCATATGCAGGCCAGCCTGGCTGGACTCAGCGTCGAGCACGTGCACAGCTTCACGCCCTGGATCCAGGCCCAGGGGGGCTGGGTGAGCCGCCCAAGACTCTGTGGGCCTCCCTTTACCTGACTGATTGGGGGAGGGGGCTTCTTAGGTTTCCTTTCAGGCATCGCGGGTGTTCTCCCAGCTCCCCCTCCCCCCGTTCACCTGCTCTGTGCTCTCTGAGCACCTACTGCACCCTGGGCCCCGCGGTGATCAGTGGGGGCTTGTGCGGATTAGGTGGGGCCACCCTCTTAGTGCTTGGCGCCCCGTGGCGTGTTTGTGTGGTTCCCGGTGACTCTGCCTGGGCAGGTCTGCCTGCCGGACCCGCCTGTCCCGTAGCCCCTGCCTCCTTCCTCTCTGCTCGGCTGTTACCCTCAGGGAGGCCTTTCCGGGTCCCATTTAAAACCGCAGCCGCCTCCACACCCTGGCGCTTACTCACCCTCTCTTGTTGGCTACTTTACTTCCTTCCATAGCATCTGCACCTTCTGACATGGCAGGAGCAGCTGGTTGTACCTCCTTTTGCCGTCTTCTCTCGTCCCTGACACCTCAGCTCCAGGAGCCCAGGAAGCCTTCCCTTGCTCTCGCCTTTCAACCCAATGCCAGGCTCAGAGCTGGCATGGCCCGTCACCTGGGCAACGGCCCCACCTCCCTGAGCACCTGCCTGCCCTGCCTCATGGCTGCCCCGCAGTTGCCTTGTTGCTGTGGCGATGCGGTCAGAGGAGGGTGCACTCCAGGCTCTCAGAGCCTAATCCTTGCTTCCCAGACTGGGAGGGGCTGGCCTGGTGTTTGAGGAGCAGAGAGGAGGGGCTGGAGCGGGTGAGCAAGGTGAGCCAGGCAACAGGGCCAGCGTTGAGGGCAGGGGGGGCGGCCAGGTTGTTGGGGGCTCGTAGTCATGGTGAGAACTTGGGGTTTGACTCTGAGTGAACCCCGAATTCCTGGAGGGCTCTGGGCAGAGGATGAGAGGGTGCTCGGGTATTAACACCCGCCCTCTGGTGGTGGCGTGGGGAACTGTATGGGGAGAGGACAGAAGGAGGGAGCTTGGAGGGGTGACTGGCCAGGGGGGGATTCCCAGAGCAGTGTGGGAATAGTAGGGGTTCTGGATTTAATTTGGGGACAGAGGTTACACATTTTGCTAATGGAGTGGATGTGGGGGCTGAGCGGAAGGCAGGAGTCAAGGACACCGGCCTGGGCAACCGCTGGGCTGCTCCCAGAGATGGGGCCAAGCAGGGGGGAGGGCCGGGGAGGGAGAGGGCTGGGAAGGAGTCAGAGACGGTTGGAAGTGGTCCCCCGACCTCACAGCAGGCGATGAGGGCACGGGGGATGCGTGTCTGGGGCTCAGCCCAGACACTCGCTCGCTGGTTTGTAAACCGTTTTGTTTTAAGGAATGAGCAGAAAGCTTGGCCAGGTGCTCGCCAGGGATTTCAGTGGATGATCCCAGTTAAGCCTCACAGCAGCCTGACGGGATTCCGTTATTATCCGGGTCTCACGGGGCTGGGAGGGGAAGCTCCTCGCGCAGGGATCAGAATCAACACTTGCACACAAAGCCAGGGCCCTTGATCTTTAAAACCCCAGCACCCTCTCCGCTCGCTGAGCCCTGTCTCTGCCCAACCTCCACCAGCGCTCCGCCCACCACGCGGCTCTGTCTCCCTTTTCCTCACCGGGACTGCCCCCCTCCCCCCACCCCCACTCCCGGGTGTCTGATCCTCTCCAGGGCTCTGTCCCCCCACCCTGGGTCTCTGTCCCTCTCT